GGTGGGGGAGGGAGGAGGGAAATCAAGAAATAAAGTTTTTCATATAAAAAGTGTTACACTGTTATGCAGTGAGTAAGTTGCAGTAAATTCTAACCTCTAGTGAATCTGACAATAAATCTAGTTTCAATCTGTTAAGGCGTCTAGTTTATTTTTAGATTATTTTGTTGAGATTTTCAAATGATACGAACCTCTATTTCTTTGTCTGGGGCATCGCTGCTAGGCTTGTACACAATGTGAACAAAGTCATGAAGATATCGCATAACGGCCACCTCTTGTTTACCCTCTTCTATGATTATCTTAAAAATTTGGCTGAGCTCTGAGCTCTCCAATATATTACGTAGCTTCTGCTCTTCTAAAGAAAATAATATTGATAGGTATTGAATCATATTTATAAAATAATTGGGATACTACGCGCGCTATGATTGGTCGAAAACCATGTTTGATGAGAGTATCAAAACACGCTGTCGTCATTTTTAATCTATCGCGCGCGCACATTTAGAAATTTACACATTTACACATTTAGACTAAAGTGAGCCTGAACTTTAAATGTAAAATTCAACTCGTGAATCGAAAATCCAGAATGCCCCGACCATTTAGTGAGGATTCAAGATGGAGAATGGTATTTCAGCGTTTGTTTTATGCCAGAACCTTCGAGGAAACACGTGATATTTCTTTTAGTCTAAATGTGTGAATGTCTTTTTTCGGTGGACAACGTTAATGACATTGACTGTATAAAAAATACATAAATGAATGAATAAATAGATTAATAAACCTGGGACACACCTAATTGCAAGAACGTTGTCATATAAAAATGAAAATAAAAAATAGGATATTTTTTTCAATAATGAGCAATAATGGCAAAAAGCGCCAAGAACTAGACTTTCGTATGAGTTTTGATCCCAATTTTCGTTTTGGGTTAACACTCAAAACCTTTTTTTAACAGTTAGAAACTGATGTACTATGATAAAATGCCTGTTTGAAGCAGTATTTTCAATTGCACAAAGGTGTTTTGTTGCATTTGTGTTAGAATGTTGCTTTGTCAGGCTTTTTTATAGAAAATATATGGGAAATAAGCAAATGAAGGCCTAAACCTCATTTTCGAATAAAACTTTTGCTTTGGGTTAACACTTTGATTCTACTTTCATTGGTCATCTCCACTTCCAAACAAGTTAATTAAACTTTCTGAATAACGAGATATTAGCCTTGTACAACGCTCACTGCTTGAATACGAAAAGAATTCTCTCTTAATTAGTAATACTTTTAATATTATGATTCTAAAGCTCCCTAGATTGATGAAAATACCTGTTTCAGTATATACTAATGAGGAAATATAAAAAATGTCAGTCTATGCCTTCAAAASAGTGAAATATTAACTCTTGTTTTGCTCAAAAGATAATTAATTCCTATTTGTTTAATTTATTTTTCATTTCCATATGACAACGTTCCTGCAAGTAGGTGTATCCACTAATGCTTAGTTATAAAATCTAATTGGAATTTAGATAACAATAATACTATTAATAATAATAATAATAATATCTTATTTATATAATCTTTGTTTTGTTCTTACTTGAATGACTCGAGACATCAGATGCTCCTCTCATCAGGTCATCGATCAAACTTTTGATCAGCCACGAGAACGGAAAACGGCAACAAAAAGCATGTCTTCCACGGCCTGACACGGCAACCTGTTCATGGGTTGAGGCACTTTTGGAGGGGTCATAAAATATCTTACACAATCGATCATTGTCAAAAATAGAGTTCCATAACCTGCGCAAAAGAAGAATATTCAAGTTATGTCATGTAACAGATAATTCTAGTTGTGGATCCGTTTTTTAGGAAGTTTGCAGAGGATTGTATGGGTATTGTCAGGTATTCACACATCAATGAAGAGAAACGAGTCCACGTGCTATGTTGAGTTATATAAGAAAGTGGGTAACTTTGAGAACCCGGGAGAAGTGCTAGGAGAAGCACGAGTCGTTGGAGTATGTACCTACGCGCATCTTAACGAAAACTTCCGTCAAGACGTACCCAATCGAATGCTAAAATTAATGTGTATATTTTTTTTAGAACCTTCAGTCGTAGATCTTAAACGTGTAGTAAAAGCTGCAAAGGGCTGTTTCTTTGGCTTTGCCCTTGGTAAAGGTCATTCTTTATCATGATATCTTTTTCTCAAACCTAAGCGTTTTATCCGAAATCCTACATTTAATAAAAAGTCTCTCCCATTTCTCCCAATTGAAATTGAGCCTCGAGACAGCCAACGAGGGCTCTTCAGTACTTATGTCAATCTCTGGTTTCCACGGAGGCTTGGTTCTCATTAAACGGGATACAAGAACTCATATTACATCAATTTACTGGTATTACTCGAATTTTTTTAAAACCCTGTTACCTGCATATCCATGGACCGTTTTCTGAGTCATACAGAAGATCGAGATTACAGTCTCTGTCTACGCACACCAAAACTTTGGCCACCAAAGGTTCTATCTCAGATAATATTCTGTGGTGTAATGCCTTCACAAAGGTGCCATGCTCGTGTACGCTAATTTCTTCGAGTGCCTCGCGATGAACCCAGTCGAATGCTAGATGACCAGCAATTTTGTTCTTTTTTTCTAGAAGCTCGTAGATCTTAGAATGTAAAATACTTGCAAATGATGGTTCAACTGTAATGAAATAAAACACTGAAAATGTGAGCTCTTGTTAATGATGAAACTTTGTCCAGAGAAATCAGCTTATCTGAGTAGGTTAACTGCGAACTTCAACGCTAAACCCTGGTTCACAAGAGCAATACAAATCCAAACGTAAGCAATCTTCACGAGTGAAACACGGATGCAAATTAACATATGCAAGCGCAGTAGTGCTCGTTTACATCTAAAATATTTTTGGCGTTTGCATTTCTCGTGTAAGCCAGGCTTAAGGATTCAAAAATGAATAGCCGTTAACTAACCTGGTAAACTGGCATAGTTCTCGGGAAGAAGTTTTAAAAGTATGTTTATTCTTTCGGTCGTCCTGTCCAGCATTGAAGAGTGATCTCTTAGCCGTCCAGCTGCAGACTGGATACTTTTACGCAACAACACCACAACATCAACCTTATTTTGAGATTTCTGTTCTGCATCTTTCCTTGATTTTTTGTGTACCTCGTGATCACCTGGATGTTTATGCTCAGGTTGGGCTTTTTCTTCTGAGACTTGTTCTGGAACGCTTTCGTTTGTTTCCATTGCTTCTGTATCAATTCTCAAGTGATGAGCATTGTTTTCATTGAAAGTAATAGCAGGAGTCTGTTTATCATCATCAACAGCAGCAACATCATCATCGTCATCTACCTCCATCACTGTATCTTCTTTCCCACTTTCAGTTTCCTCTCTCGCGTCTTCTCTTTCCGGTTTTTCCTCTGCAACAACTTCTTCCATTTCTATATCTTGGTAATTTACCTCTGGTTTAAGAAGGCTACTAATAGACTGATCAAGAAGGCATTCTATTGGGGGAAAATGAATAGTCGGAGGACACAAATCATCTATGTGAACTGATTCCCACATGCCACCTTGGAAACCTACGAAGTTTTTGCATCCCCCTTTGACACGGGGTAGCTGCGCGATGATCACCAGGTTGACAGGCGGTAGTTTAGTTTGATCCTGTTACGAAGATAAATAAAATTATTATTAAAAAAAGGAAAAAAAA